AGTAGGCATGTTGCCCTTGAGGCTAACAACAACAATAACAACAACAACAACAACAAACAATTTCCAGTCAGTCGTAGGTGGCAGTGAGACAGCATGATGAATCATGGAGAGGAGTGAACAAGGAGTGGATGGTAGAGAAGGGAGATGGGTGCAGGGAAGGTGCTAGTTAAGAAGATGCTCTCTCTGAAGAGCAGGGTCTTCAGGAGTTTCTTGAAAGTCAAAAAGGAAGTCGCTGTTCTGGTAATGCTTGGAAGGTCGTTCCACAAATGTGGAATGATGCATGAGAAGAGTCTGGATTGTCCTGAGCGTGGTGTAGGCACTGCTAGCCGACGATCATGTAATAACCGGAGCGGCCGGGCCGAGACGTAAACCTTTGCAAGAGGATTCAGGTAGATGGGAGCCATACCATCTCGGACTTTGTATGCTAGTGTTAGCAATTTGAATTTGATGCATGCTGCTAGCAGTAGCCAGTGGAGCTCAAGGAACAGAGGGGTGACGTGTGCTCTTTTTGGCTGATTGAAGACCAGACGCGCCGCTGCGTTCTGGACCATTTGAAGAGGTCTCACAGTACAGCAGCAGTAACTCAGGTGGTAGAGCGGGTTGCCTCATGATCGGAGGGTCATGGGTTCAATTCCAGCTCCCGCCAGGGGTATCCTGCTGTTGTGTCCTTGGGCAAGACACTTCACCCAACTTGCCTGTGTTAGTGGTGGTCAGAGGGGCTGACGGCGCCAAATGGCAGCCTAGCCTCTGTCAGACCTCCCCAGGGCGGCTATGGCTACAAGTAGCTTACCATCACTAGCAGTGTGTGAATGTGAGAGTGTGTGAGAGCGTCTTTGGGTGTCTAGAAAAGCGCTATATAAGTTCAATGCATTATTATTATTACAGGCTGGAAGACAAGTTAGAAGGGCATTGCAGCAATCGAGGCGGCAGATGACAGTAGATTGCACCAGGAGCTGGGTGGCACGTTGTGTTAGGTATGATCTGATCTTTTGTATGTTATACAGCGCAAAGCGGCATGAACAAGCAACAGAGGCAACATGATCTTTAAAGGTCAGGTGTTCATCAATCACAACACACAGATTTCAAACTGTCTTTGAAGGAGCCAGAGATAGGAAGTCATTTTGGATTGAGATATTATGCTGTATGGATGGTTTTGCTGGGATGACAAGTAGTTCAGTTTTAGAGAGGTTTAGTTGGAGATGGTGGGATTTCATCCATCTTGATATGTCAGAGAGACAGTTTGATATTCGTGCAGAGACAGTGTGGTCGTCCGGTAGAAATGACACGTAGAGCTGGGTGTCGTCTGCATAGCAGTGGTAGGAGAAGGTATGTGATTGAATGATCTCACCCAGTGAGGGGGTGTATATGGCAAAGAGAAGAGGTCTTAATACAGAGCCCTGGGGGACTCCTGTGGCAAGATGGTGGATGGCAGAGGATTTTCCAAGCCAAGATACACTGAATGATCATCCTGTGAGGTACGATTCAAACCAGGCGTGTGCTTTCTCTGTGATGAAGAAGAAGAAGAAGAAGAAGAAGAAGATATCATTTCTATAGCGCCTTTCAAGATAAAAATCACGAGGCGCTTCACAAAAACAAAACATATAAAATATAGTAAAAATATAAAAAAGCACTTAGCAAATGTTTAAAAACACACCCAAAATGAGCAAGAATACGCAATTGCGATTTAAAAGAAAAAATGTTAAGAAAGAGAGAGAGTGAATAGGAAAGAGGGAAATCAGTGGATCCTGAGGAAGGTGGAATAGGTGGGGAGAGCAGAATAAAGAGAGAGTGGTTGAAGAAGGTCATACAAAAATGATGCCCATGCTAGAGAGTGTGGACAAAAGGAAGCCATGGTTGACAGTGTCAACTGCAGCCGATAAGTCGAGCAGGATAAGCACTGAGGATTTGACAGTTGCTCTAGCTTCTTTTAAGGATTCCGTCACTGCTAACAGAGCAGTTTCAGTGGAGTGGCCCTTTCTGAACCCAGATTGGTAACGGTCAAGCAGGCAGTTTTGTGAGAGGTATTCTGTGATCTGCTTGAAAGCCACCCTTTCAATGATTTTGGACAAAAAAGGGAGGAGAGAGATAGGTCGGAATTTCTCCACATGATTTGGAGGAAGTGATGGGTTTATTTTAGCAGCGGTTTAACCTGAGCATGCTTGAGAGAGGTGGGAAATGTACCGGATGTCAGTGAAGCGTTGATCACATGTGTGACTGCTGCGGCTACTGTAGGAGCAATAGCTTGGAGCAGCTTAGTCGGAATGGGGTCGAGTGGGCATGTAGTAGGGCGGCTGCACGTGAGAAGCTTGGACGCACAGTTCTCAGTGAGAGGGGAAAAAGAGGAAAATGCAGCAATTGGGCTTGAGATGGTTGGGCTAGAAGGAGTTTGTGGTAGCGAATGTTCAGGAGTGGCCACTTTGTCAGTGAAGAATGAGGCAAAGGTGTTAGCTGATTGATTGTTGGTGGAGACGGAGGGTTGAGCAGAGTTTTGAATGTCGAAAATAGTTTCTGAGCGTCAGTAGAGCTGAGAATTTTGTCAGTGTGGAAAGATTTCTTTGCATCAGTGATGCTGGCAGAGAATGAGGACAGTAATTCATGACATTTCAATTGATCACCAGGATCTTTTTTTTGGCGCCATTTCCGTTCGTTCCACAGCTCTAAGATTGGTGCGTAAAGACCGGAGGGTATCATTTAGCCAAGGGTGCGACTGAGAGGATCTAGTGGCTAAAGGGCACAAGTTGTTAAGACAAGAGCAGAGTGTAAAATGAGACAAATGCAGCATTAATATTAACATAACTCCAAATTTCTATAAATATAATACAATATTTAAATAGAAAGCCTTTTAGAAGCTGCGGTGAATGAAAAAAAAAACTAATCCTGGAACAGGGTTCCCGTCTCTATCAGAGAAAATGACCCAGGAAACGTGTTTGCAGACGGTTTCCTGAATCATTGAGCTGAAATGAAACTTTAAATATTTAATGCCTGCCTGCTTTCATCTCCCAGTTGTGTCTTTGTGTGGCGACTTGCTCCAGAGCTGACTATCACCATGAGAGGGAGGCTGCAGCAGCTGGAACAGAACCAGAACTCAACACCCCGCCAGTCCCCCGTCGTCAGGTGATGACATACAAATGCTCATTGTGAATATGCGCAGCAAACACCTTGTGCTGCTTCGTCACTTTGATTCTGGTTGCTGTAGGAGGGAGGCGTACAGCGCTCCTGCTCTGGTCGGCTTTTCCTCTGACAGCGAGAGGGAGCAGGAGGATGAGCAGGAGGAGAACGCTGACCCTGATGATGACAACAGCAACACTTTTTCTGACAGCAGCCATGAAGAGGACACAGGTGCTCTCCTAATGACGTGTGTGTATGAGTGTGTGTGTGTGTGTGTGCGTGCGCACTCGCATACATGAACATTCACACAAATCTGGAAACAGAAATATAAGTGTCACCTCTCGCCTTGTTATCGATGCCTTAATTAAAACGTTTTCTCTCTCCAACACGAGGCTCAGACGAGGAACAGGACTGGGAGCTGAGTAAGGTAATATGTTTAGATCAAATGTGAAACGTTGCCATATGAAACACAGCAGACATGGGGAAAAAGTTTGAATGTCATAACTCAGGTTGCTCCTGATGCTGCCAAGCGACCACGGAGGCGTTGGTCCCATCGGATGGGCTCCTTGGAGCTGATGGTCAAGTCTATGCTGGACTTGAGACAACTGGACACTTTTGGTCACAAGAAGAACCTCACCCCTTCACCCGGTGACAGACGGAGCATGTCCAGCATCCAGGAGCCTGTAATTAACAGTTTAGCATCCAGGAATCAGCAGGAGGAAGGGAATCCACGATTAGTCACCCATGTTTTTGTTTTGTGCAGCAGGTGGAGGAGAGATGCAGGAGGCCTCGACTCTGGCTGTCTTCAGCCAGGGGCATCAAGGACACGGAGGGGCAGACGCTGTTCCCGGAGGAAAACGAAGACAGCACCAGTCCAGAGGACAGGTAAATCATCTCCTACAGCCCAACATCTCTGTTTACGTATTTCTCAGTGCTGTGTCTGTGCATCAGTGATTACACGGTGAAGGAGCAGCTCTGCAGCAGTCAGGGGAGAAGGATCCGCAGCGAGAGTCAGGACAGCCGCAGCCCAGACAGCGCCTGCTCTCTGGGCTACGACAGCCGGGAGCCCAGCCCGGATCAGGTCCTGGACGGTGAGAAAGACAGTTAGGACAACATCTTTTTCACATTCTTTAGATGGACTCTTTAAAGCCAGAAATGCGAAAATCAGACTTTAGTTCTGTTTCCACCCCCTTGAAAAGGTGGAAATAGTTCAGACTGTCGCTGCATCAAAGTGAAGACAGACTTTAAAAGGTGTTTGTTGAGCTGCAGCCTCACCAGGTCCTGCTTCCGCTCTCCCTCCCTGTAGATGTGGACTGCTCCAGTCAGGGCGGCTCTGAAGAGGAGCCGGCAGAGTGGGAGCCAGCGGTGGTGACGAGCATAGACGAGGCTCTGAGGACAGTGAGCGACGGTCCAGACCACAGCCAGGAGGACTTCCTGCGGCAGAACTTTGAGACTCTGACAGAGATCTGCAGCACAGGTAGGACAGGAAATCCACTCGTTCACACCTTTGACCCTCTCACTCTGTTATTATATTGAACAAAAGCCTTCAGAGCAGCCATGGCCTGGAGGGTTCTTTTAAACCCAGAATATCTCACTATTTCTGTGAGCGGCCTCACATCCAAGTAGACATTATTGATTTTGTCTCACTTTCCCGTTCTGCCTCTGTCTCTTTTCCTGTTTCTGCAGCTGAGCAGAGCCGAGTCCCAAGGCTCAGCATGTCTTCACGCTTCCTGGCCAAAGGACACAATAACAGGTAGCAGCTGAGCAGAGCGGACTCACACCTATGATTATAAACCCTTCTGGACACGGACATGCTGCTCTGTTAAACCATCCGTGAACCGTCCTGATCCAGCCAGTCAGTCTAATGCTCGTCATCAGAAGTGGGATTTGTTATTTTTATAACAAGCTCCATGTCCATGTCCACACACACACACACACACACACACACACACACACACACACACACACATGTCTCGGGATGGTGTAGGAGGAAGTTTAGGACCCAAAATGCAGAGAACCAGATGAACCAGGCTGGAGGTAGATGATGAACATAAAATCCTTTATTTAGGGAATAATCCAAAAGGCAGGGTGCCAAAAAACCAAAAATCCAAATGAAAACACTGGAGATCCAAAAAACACTAGAGGCTAGAGAGACTAGAAGCACTGGAGACACTAGAGAACAAGCGAGACGAGTATGACAGAAACAATGGACCGACAAACACATAGCAACACAGACAGGGCTTTATACACTGGGGAGGATGAGAGGGAGATGAACTGCAGGTGTGTGGGGAGAGAGAGAGAGCAGGTGAACTTAATTACTAATCAGGGAGTAAACAAACTTGACCTAAGAATAAAAACTAAAGACAAGAAGAGCAGGAACATAACTAATAATGGGGGGGGGGGGGGGCACGACCCTCAAACACCGATGGGAATAACACACTAGAGAGACTAATAACATGAACAGCTGTAGCTAAAGGAAAATGACCTGAGAGAAAAACCTAAAGACCAGAAGGGCAGCAAACACAATTAATATTCTAAGGGGGAGCTGAAACTAGAGGAAAAACACTACAGAAAGAAAAACTACAGGGGCGTGACTAAAAGGGGTCCACGGGAACACAGGACCTGGGAGGGGGAAACCTAGAGGGCTGAAGATCTGGGGGCAGATGGGGAACACCAGGAGACACAAGAGGAAAACGCAGACAAGGACACATGAGGGCGCTAGGAGACACAAAAGGAGAACCTAGAGAGGGGTGGAGAACACGAGGAGACACATGAGGGGAGACGCAGACTCAGACCATGACAACACACACACACACACACACACACACACACACACACACACACACACACACACACACACACACACACACACACACACACACACTCGAGGGTGATCATTATGAGAATAAGTTCCTAAATGAGCAGAGTTCTGTACTTGTTGCACATCTAGCCGAATAAACCAGTTCTGTTACACAGCTGCTCTTCGTTCTGCACACAGACCTCCATCAGCCAGAGTACCCAGCAGCAGATCTCCTAATCCCCCAGTGTCAAAGGTACAACCGCTGACTCTAAGGAGCGAGTCAGAGGACGGGATCCCCGTGTCCCTCGTCAGAACTGAGACGTAAGGACAAAACAGAAACAAACATTTTGCAACGGTCTGCAGAAGTACAACGAAGGAGTCAATAAAGTCATATTAAAATATTAAAATGTTTATGAGGCAATAATGCAGCAGCTGAACTTTTTATTATTTTCTCATAGTTTTATTAATGAATGCAGATAAAGAAAAAGTGGAAAATGTATCTAAAAATGTTATTTTACCAAACATTTACATCATTTCCTCAACTTATAGCTGAATGTTTTTAAGGATGTTGAGGCAATTCTAAAATAAATGCTACTGCAGGACATTTAGACACTTATCAGTACAATATGCTGAGACTTTTTGGAGATGATTTAATGATTTTTCAAATTAAAATAAATTTCAGAGAAGCAGTTTGTGTGCACACTGTCCCTTTGATGGTTGATCCAGGTGTTCTGATGCACTTTTACCTGTTGGACAGGTGTGCTCTCATGTGGAATTTCTGCATTGATGGTTAATGTCCAAATTGTCTTTGCCACCTTAAATTCTGGGGTTTTAAATAAAATCATCTTCAGAGTATGCAACTACCATCAAACAGGCAAACAGCCTCGATTTTTCCACCTTCTTCTTCCTCTTCCTGCGGTTCTGAAGCCCCTGTCGCCTTCTGATGTGTCGCAGTAACAATATTTAGCTCTGTTTGACAAATAAGCTTACCTATTTGCTCAGCAGGGTTCCAGAGAAAGATCCTCCTCTTAAACCTCGACCTGTGAAGAAGAGGACCCCAGAGTCCCACCTGTGGAGAATGTCCAACCCTCCACCCAAAGGCTCCCCCCTGCTGGACAGAACAGCCTGTATGCAGAAGTCACAGTCTGCACTGAATCTGGCTACAGGTGATGACATCCATCATTTATGAGTCATTCTGCAACGTTTGGCTCAGATTTATGTGATCTGTTTGTGATTTTAAAGAAATTTAAAGTAAGTTTGAATCAGAGGTGGATAAATGAGTGCATTTGTGTATAGAATCACCTAAACCTCACATAAATAATGTAAAATAACTTTTTTCACTTAAAAACATTTCTATCTCATCATTTTTGCAGCTCCGCGCTCACCTCTGCCCTCTAGTGTCCAAAAGGAGACTTGTCCAAGACCTCAGCATCTCCTTCCCACAGACTCCCCCACCACCTCCACCCCCTCCTCTGTGTCCCCACACTCCCCCGTGACACCCCCACCATGGGAGAGCCCCAAACTAAAGCAGCAGCACTCTTACATGAATCCCACCGCCAGCTCCATGGCCAAGAGCAGCAGATCCTCCTCTCTGGGGGACGAACTCCAGTCTGCATCTCCTCCCCGCTCCCACTCCTTCCCTGAAAACAGGAGCTCATCAGAGGAAATGGAGCCTCCTGTGCTCTCCTCATCTCCTGTCCTCACATTCCCATCAAAAGGCCCCTCTCTGGTTGCCACTCACCCCACTGCTGCAGTTTCACCAACCCGTCTGACCCAGAGCGCCCCAGCTTCTCGCATCCCGCTCCTGAAGCAGCCCCTCAGCCCCCGAAGCAGCCTGTGTCTGGAAGTGAAACCGGGTCCTGGCTGCTCTGGAGTTGCTCTGAGGGCTTCAGCTTCCGCTGCAGATGTTGGCTCAGATGTTGGCTTAGATGTTTCACCTTCTCCTGGAAAAGCTTCAGGTTGGAGGGCTGAAAACGGTGGTTGTGTCACATTCCTGCACGGTGTCTGCTAATCTTTCCTTTTGACCTGATGTTTTTAGCCCGATGCCGGCAGCTCTCTCTGACCTATGATCCCACCAGTTCCCTGATCACGACGCAGCAAAGGAACTCCATTTCTGAAAGGTACAGTTCCCTCCTAAACACCCACAGTAAAGTTAAAACAAACACAAGCAGCCGTGGATGAAAAGAAAGAAACTGAACATTTAGAGTTTTTAAAATGACTGAACAATATTAGTAATCCTGCCAATACTCACATTTAGTTTTTAATATTTATTCCCAGTGCCAAGGAGGGGGGTCAGGAGGCTAAAGAGCGCCCTCTGGTACCTGAAGAGAACCAAACACAGAACCCACAATCAGGTTTGACCTCCCAGAACACCTTTCTTCTTCTTTGTTCTGCCTAATCAGGAACTCCTGATCTGTAATATAAATAATAATGTCTTTTATTTGTGTTTGTTTGATTTTCAAAACATAAATTACAATAAGATTAAAAAAGGAGAGAAAAACATACAGAATTAAGGCCTCAAAACTATCCAGAAGTGTGATACAAAGTTAGAATGATGTGAAAAGATGCTAATTTTGTGCCGGGAAAAGTTATTTTTCCCTCAGATTTGATCTATTTTTTATTTCAAATCAGGAACAAATTTGAATATCAGAAAAAAGTCTCAGAGCAGTTTTCAAAGATGGAAAGCTGAGTTCAGCCAGACCTGCGACACGTCAATGACGTCACACCCGGTTCTAAAGAAAGGCAATAAAAAAGATCTCAGAACAACTTCTGAAGCCTGCAGGCCTCACATCATTCAGGTTAAGGTCAGAGGTCATGATTCCACCAAAACAAAAAAAGATGAGAATGAGTTTGGAGGCCAAAACCTCTGCTGACGCAGAGGAAAATGTAAACTCACAAGAACTTTACACCCAAACTGCAAAAACAGATTTTTAATAAAGTGAAAAAGCCCAATTTTTAGAAATGTTATCTCATTTTAGTCTAACAAGAAAAAATAATTATTCTCTAATAATTTGGATTACTTAAACTAAGGTAAAAATTCTTTAATACGATTCCAAATGTTCTTGTTTTCAGTACAAAAAAAAAAAGGCGGCTAGAATTCTTAAAACTTGCAAAATAATCTAATTTTACATTTAACTTCAGCCGAGCATCTTTTTGCTTACCCGGTTGATGGATTTATTCTTTTTACTGGAAACAAGAAAATTTGTAGCATATTTAAAAATATTTACTTTATTTTAAATGATGCAATTTTTCTAGAGAAAATCTCAGACAAATCTTAGACTAAAGTCTAAAAACCATATTTGTTGACTTTCTTAATAATCAGTTTTTGCAGTACAGGTAAAATATCCTGTGAACTGGGGAGACAAAAGTGAATTTTCTGAAGGGTGTGTGTGTGTGAATCCATCTGGAGTAAAACTAACCGATTCCCAGAAACAAACTATAGCTACAGTCCAGCATGGTGGTGGTAGTGTGATGTTCTGGGGCGGCTTTGCTGCTTCACTTGTCGTATGTGATGAAATCATGAAATCTGCTCTCTAGCAGGAAATCTCAAAAGAAAATGTCTGACCTTTGACCTTAGTAACTAAACTCATTGATAACAGCATTTTGTATTTACTTGAGTTATCTTTGTCCGTTATTGAATTTTTTACAGATCTGAAACAAAAACCAACAAAACTAAACCAGAGGACCTATAAGGAGTCAAACATGTGCTTCTGTGTCTCTGTGTGTGCCCGTGTCTCCTCATGTTTAAGTCTACATTTTCTTTGTTTATTTTCAAAGATTTTGTGTGAAGATGAAATGCATGAGGAATCAAGATTTATGATTGGAAACACAGTGTTTTGTTGTTATTATTATAATTGTTTTAAATCACATTTACACACACCAGGCCTCTCAACTGAGAAGCTTTAATTAATGTCATGAATGCAAAAATAGAAGACCCACAACTTTGACCTTTTACTGAGAAAATCTAAGATTCAAATAGATGTCAAATAAATTAAACCCTCAACCTTGCAGATACATATATCTCTGCTGCAACTACTGAGTTGTTGTTTTATTTTAGACTGGAAACACAGAAATGAGTTAAACGATATCTAGCTCACATTTGTAGTCGTCCTGCTGGAAGAAAAACAATATTTTAAATGATATTTTCTCATCTTTTCTTTATTCCTTGGAATTTGCATTCTCTCTTCAAGGTTCTTCAGCCTTTTGTTTAGCGTTTCCCTATAATCCCCACTTTGCTCTGTGTGTTTGGGTTTTTCTGTATCTGTGTGTGCATGTGTGTGTGTGAGAGCACTCATTTACCACTCACTGTGCCATACTTGAACATCATTTTCTCCATCTCCATCTTAGTCACCTTGGAAACCTGCAGGGAGAGCATTACCAATCTCCATATCAGTCTGAGGAAGACCATTCTTCTGTTTACTACGGTTAGTGTGTGTGTGTGTGTGTGTGTGTGTGTGTGTGTGTGTGTGCTTTATATGCTTAAGTAGACAAATTTCAACTTTTAACCAGTAGTGTGTGGACATTTCCACATTTTGGGGACATCTGGCTGGTCCATACAATGACAAAACACCCTTAAACATGGTTTTAGAGGTATGGTGTAAAAGAACTTTTGGTTTAGCTTGAGGTTAGGAATAGAGTTATGGTAAGAGTTAGGGTATGGGTATGGGCTAGTTGTAATATAGTCACAAAAAACGCATGGAAGTCAAAGGATGGTCCTCACTATGATATAAAGACAGACGTGTGTGAGTGTGTTTACGTGTGTGTAAAAGAGAGAATAAATTGAAGAAATAGAAGCAAATTGGTTACAGATTCTTCCCCGGTTTGTAGAAATCGGTTTTAAAAATCTGTAATGAAGAAAAAATAAAGAAAATGACTTTTTATTAGAACTAAGAGAACGGAGCACATCACTCCTGTTCTTAGATCCCTACTGTGGTTACCAGTAAACTACAGAATAGATTTCTAAGTGCTCCTACTAGTTTATAAATCACTCAATGGCATGGGACCAAGATACAAGTCCAATCTCATCCCAGTATATACACCCAATAGGGCTCTGAGATCCCATGGAAACAATCAGCTTATTATTATTATTTTTATCATTAATGATTGTATCTTATGTTGTATCATCTCCACTGCAACGTGCGCGGTGTAGCGATCAAATAACTACATTAAATAATGACCAATAAGATGTGATGATTCCATTTAAATATGAAATATCAATCTGATTGATCTTTGAATGTTCAATCAGAAGATTCTAGGGTTCTTTGCTTCTTTAGGGACCATAAACACACTTTGTACTAATTCAGACAGAGTCAAGTATATAGTTTATAAAATTAATTTAATTTAATTATTTTCCTAAACTAATAATTTATACATGACAAGATATGAATAATGAGATGTGACGTGGCGGATGTGCGGTGTTGTGAGGGAAGCTAGATGGTGTAGCAATCGTTCTTTGAATCTGAGAGAAATTGTGAAATCTGAGTGTAAAAGAATGTGTTGTTTGGTTCTAAACTAGAGAGTTGTTTATGAAAAACGGCATCAGATGCAATCTGTCTTGCCAAGTCTACCCACCCTTGGTGTGGAGGTTCTCGTTCGATCGGGGGGGGGGGTTCACTGCCGGTGGAGTGAACCTCTGTTATCAGGAACCCGTAGCCAGTTCCGATAGGACCCGTCCAGTCTGACATCCTTCGAGGTGAGGGCAGGAAGCTGGAATGCTTATTTGCGTCCAAGGAGGATGTTTGCTTGGCTCTTAGAAGAGCCGGTTATCTGGTATCAGCTGCAGAATTGCAGAGAGGCTTTTGACAGGAGGTCAAAGGAGAAGATGGTTTCAAAAATGCTTCTTTCACGATTTAGCCGAATTGAGGGTCAGCTGGAAACTGAATTAATCGGAAAGTAAGTCTTGTTTTATTAAACTACTTTGTTATGATTTCTGGCCAAGTTTGGCCAATCAGAATTTGACACGTTTCTGAGTATTTTCCAACATCCCCCAGAAAGCCACACCCTCCTCAGATACAAAGATGTTTTAAACACTGTGAATGAGAACGATCCAAACCTTTTGTGAGGTGCACTTTAACCTAATGAGTATCTTATTGTAATGTGTATGAGTGTAAACAATGATTAACTTGTTAAATCCAACACATAGTGATTTGTGACATAAATGGATCATTGTAAGAACAATTTTCATTTTAAAGCCATCACTGGTTTAAGCACAGGTTATTCAAACATTTCATTTAAACATCTTGTTCATTCATCACATATGATTATTGTAAGCTTATGAGTAGTAAAAGTCATGGAGTCTTCCCTTATTTAGAGTGAAGAATGTTGACGTCTAGCTTTCATGCAAAGAGTGCAGGACCTTGGGAGAGAATTCCATGCTGTAGTTCTTTTTAAAACACAGAACAGTTTTGCTACCTGTTTTCCCGCTACATTTCGTTTGCGGCTGCTTGGGAGGGAATGTTTTTCTGGATGTTTTGTCTTCTGTATGTAAGCACGCACTGAACAGATCCTTCTAGGTTTGGAAGACCAAACAGAAAGTAGATTTATTTCTGTAGACAAAAGGTTATTATGTTGGTCAATATATAAGTGAAAATTGACTCTTTTGGATGTTACAGCTGAAACTTAGTCTTCTCCTTTAGTTCGAAACTATATTTCAATCTGTGTGTGTTTTAAGTTGTGTTTTTGTAATTGTAAAGCACATAGTGAGTTTGAAATGTGCTCCATAAATACAGCTGCCTCGCCTTGCCTTTATTTTCTCAGCTATGAGGAGTTGGAGCTGACCTTGATCACAGATATCCCTTTTTGCTCTTTGAAATCTAGTTGGAAGATTTTAGTTATCTCCCAGTCTGTTTCTTGCATTTACTGCTCTCTTAAATTCACTCATACTTTTGTCATGTGACAGAAACGTACTTTAAAACATTTAGTACCTTTAGAATGTAACAGAATGAAATGACTGTTTTCCACCAAAAGTCATTTTCCCCCTCTCCTCTGACAAAGCACTAGTCTGCATGAGATATGGCCTCAAGGTCTCATGCATTTGCTCTAAACTGCTTCCTTTCCAGCCCAAGTGAAGACTGAAGAATGGACTCTCTCCTTTAAAAAAATCAAAGAACTCTATTTTAAACAAAGCTAATCAAACAAAGTGTTAAGATGTGACCAATCTGTGAAATCAAAATGTTAATTACTTTATTATAATCCTATAGAATATAATAAGTAATATGACTTTAAATGTTTCCACTAGGACTGATCTCACGTAGTGTTAAGAGACATGACACATTGGTTTACTGATCCAATCAGAATCTGTCAGATCTGACGAAGGTGTGGTTTTGGTGGTGTTTGGTAAATCTGTCATCTTTTCATTCAACCATAAACCAAAACATCCGAAGTATAAAACTATGCCCACGTCATCTCTATCGCCAGTTCAAAGCGTTCTAGAGAAGTTATCGGAGTGGCCAATCCGTGACTCTCCTCTTCAGCCGAAAGAACCAACGACAAGCTGGATAAAATCTGTTGCTGTTACAACTACTGCAATGGTTCCTTTCAGAATAAAAGCTGAACTCACTGACCTCCTGGGTCCATCCGATGCTGTCAACCAACTGTCGCTTTTTACCTGGAGACAATCCAAAGACTAGTCTGTCGTACTGCTGATGCTGTTTCATTGGCTCCGGTACCGAAAGAGGGGTTCGAGGACCTGGCATTCTGGATCTGTACGGAGGTGTCATTCTAAGGGTATGTGTGGAGCGACAACATGGCGTCTCATGTGTTTATGAATCTCCTAATCAAAGCTTAACGTGAAGACATCACCTTCATTTCCCACCAGAACTAATCGTTTCTCCGGATTTGCTGGTTCTGAGCACCATTCCACGTTACACCATTCTCCGTCTCATCCACCTTAGTTACACCATACATTTAGTGTTAAAGTAGTCTAGTTTAATTTGTTTAGTAATAAATCTTTTAACTTTTAAAACCTGACTCTCTCTTCTGTTGTCTCTGAGTGAATACGAAGTGTTACATAATCCCTGCAATAAAAAGTTCCAATCTTCTGGTAAAACAGTACCCACAGATCCATAAGGCTGATTTCTTATTTACTATGGAATCTTATGTCTCATGGCTCATTAAATAACATGTAAGTTAAATCATTACAAGAATAATAAAAACAATTTGAATCCTTCCCTCAAATTATCTTAGATTGCAAACTGTTTCAAACTAGAGTCCAGGTGCTCATCAGCTGATTTACTGACTGTTTTCATCTACAACAGCTACTGAAGCACGACCAAACCTCCTCTGAAGGTCGGCGAGAAATGCTGAATGTGGTGTCAGAAGCTCTGCTCACGGTGAAAGCTGAACTGGACTCTCTGCCTCTTGCCCCCTCCCTTCGTGGAGGCTCCCAGGGGTTAAAAGGTGAGGGGGACAAGGCCTTGGCTCTGCTGGAGCAGTACGCTGAGCTGCTGCTGAAGTCCGTGGAGAGGAGACTCGACGCCAAGAACTGAAGAGGTCATCTCGTGTTTGAAGCATCAGCAGCACTGTGAACTGCACCACCAGCTTCGTGCACGAATGCTTATGTTCAGATTAAAAGGAGACATATTTAGAGCACAGAAGAGCAGGCAGACTATTATGCACTAAAAAAAGTTGCCTTATTTTCATGTCGCCATACTCATAAACAGTGCACCACTGCTCCAAGTTTAGAGAGGTCCATCATCAGGTAACGGGGTGAAGATAAAGGAGGAAGATGCTTCATTGGACATGTTTAGTGCCAATTTTAGCTTCACAGATTAGCTGTAACTTCTACGCATTTGTTACAACTTTTGTAAATCTGAATCATGTTTGTGCGTTTGAAATAATTTAGATCTTTGAATGAAATTTTCTATTTCTCTAAAGATTTTTTTTGTACAGTCTTATTAAACACTTCACCTCTTGTTCACAATTTTATTGATGAATCAAAGTAAACAGAATTTGATGACACGGTTACGACTCTGTAACAACACCTCAGTTAGTGGCACAAAATATTACACAAAATCTAAAACATCACGTTTGCCGCGGAAAAACAGAATATTGGAAAATAGTCTGAAAAGTTTTAGTTCCTGCAAAAGGTTGCGCGTAAATGGTATGAATTACCCTGCATGTGCACAGATCTACCGGTATAAACGCAGTCTGCTGCAGGGTTTCATTTAGGAACGGTTTCTAACTTAAGGAAGTGTCTCCACGTTGACGTACGTGAGGACCACATCGTTCAGTATGTTGATTCGGTCGATCTGGTTGAGCTCTCTGATGCGGTGCCGAAACTCGAACAGTGGGATGTTGTTCACCGCCACCCTGAAGGCCTCGGGCGTGCACAGGATCTTCATCTGGAAGAGAACAAACCATCGACAGCGCAGCACTTCCATCAGAACTGGGAGTCACCATGTGCGCAGAGCCAAGGTAAACTGCAAAAATAGATCAAATGTATCCAACACCACCAGATATAAAGATAGCTGCGATGCTCAGCTTTCATCTGACATCATTAAACTCAGCGCAGGGAAATGAGACTGATGCCTTGCAGCAAGTTGGTTGAAGGGTCAATCTTTGTCTCCTGCACTTTTTACCATCAAAAACAATATTACGCTATATTAAATAGACACTGGTTGAGCACTGGGACCAAGCAGAAAACAACCGCTTGTGTGGAAGCCAGTTTCTCATTAAATATTAGTTATTTTTTGTATACTTACTGCAAAGACACCCACCCACCCCCCACCCCCATGCCAGTTGTGTACCCCCCACTTATAAAGAACTCAAAAATTTTATATCTGGTTTTTAAAAATATGAATTTTTCCACCCTCTGCTGGACCAAATCTGTTACTACACCATTCAAGACATGATTGGAGCTAATACTGCACTCAAGATTACTCTAATATTTGAAAAAGTAGTCAAAAAAATACTCAAATAATAATAATAATAATAATAATAATAATAATAATAATAATAATAATAATAACTATTTGGTAAAAAGGTCTCTGAAAAACTTAGTAAATATTTATCACAACACCTGATTTAAATTGACGAACTTGTTTAATGAAATTTTTAAATTCAATATATTATAATTATATGATTCAAAAAGCAAAATAGAACTTAAATAAAATGTAATAACTAAATTTAAAATAACACATGAAAGAAGAAGAAACACATCAAATCACCCTCATTCACAATAAATCTTAGAAACCTTCCAATAGATAATATGGATTTGTTAGGGCAATCAAACATGGATATGGACAGTATTTAATGCTGAATGTATTAGAAAAGTATTATCTGATAATAACTGTCCACCTGTAAACTATAAGCTAAAAAAGATGATGTAACTGCTGTTCTGCAGTGAAAACTGATGTAAAATGTAACATCAAAATAAATGATTTTTTCTCCATATTTTTCTATTTCCTATGTTTTGATCATAATTAATGAATTGATTGACATTGTGTTTTTTTCACATAGCTAAAGCCTCTAAAACTTTAAATCCACTTTAATATAACTATATAATTATTTATCTCTACTAGGATGTGTTCAGCACATAACAACAGGCGGGGGCTTTTGCATCATCCTAAACCTAAAATGGATCAAACTGACTTTTATCATCCAGGACCCCCACCACCACCACCACCACCACCACCACCACACACACATACACACACACACACACACACACACACACACACACACACACACACACACATACGGACACACAACAAATTAAAATAAAGAAAATCTCACTCCGACGCTTTTCCAAAAGTTTGCAGCCCTGTACCATCTTCAGTTCAATTCAATTCAATTCAATTTTACCTATATAGCGCCAAATCACGACAACAGTCATCTCAAGGCACTTCACATAATAAACATTCCATTCCAGGTCACAAATGGTTGTTTTCCGCTTTGTCCTAGAGCTCAACCAGTGTCACTATAATATAGCGTAATATTGTTTTTGGATGGTAAAAAGTGCAGGGGTCAAAACTTGACTTTGGAAAAAGTGTGTGTGTGTGTGTGGGGGGGGGGGGGGGGGGCAGGGGGGACATGTCCCCCCCAAAATTACATCCATGAGTCACTGACTAGTGTCAGTGACTTTACTGCAATCCTCATACTAAGCAAGCATTTAGCAACAGTGGAGAGGAAAACTCCCTTTTAACAGGAAGAAACCTCCAGAGGATCCTGGCTCACTGGGGATCGAGAAGACAGAGCAGGCGGACACACACACACACACACACACACACACACACACACACACACACACACACACATGCACACGTACACACACCAAGTAATGTTTCTATGGTTACGTTGTGATTTCTTAGTAAATATTCTATTTGGCGAGAGATAAACTTTATTGTATTTATCCTAGTGGATCTATAATTAAACGGGTAAACTAGTAGTAGCACATCCAACGTCGAAGAAAGCAAAAAGTTATTATCAGGAGAGGGAGAATGTTTAAGTGGTTAGCAGCAGTGTGCTAGTCGATGGCCCCCTCCATGAGGCCACCACAGCTCAGCAGAACATCATTGTAGCTTCTTTTATATGTCATGCTGTGGGACAGGTGTCCTCTTGTTCTCAGGTTAGTTGGCGTTAGCATGTTGCCTAGCTCTTGAACATGCTTCCTCTGTTCACTTCCTGTCTCCTCACCTCAAAAGGACTCCCAATAGCAAAAGGGAAGGGTCCCTTCAGGTCCCTCTCCTCTGAGCCCCAGCGCTCGCCCACTTTGTGATTACGGACCAGCACCTGCTTCCCTCCCTCATTGAAGCGGGGGTTGATGTGAAAGGCTATGTCGTTGCCCCTCAGGAAGTTCACTGTGAACCTGAGGGAAGCCAAACTGTACTTAATCCTTTTATGTTTTGCAGGAAATCAAACATTTTTGCATGATGCATGCTATTCCATTAGGAATGCATGATTTTAGTTGAAGGTGAACTGTGCAGGTAGAAAATCCACTCACATTTTGGCATTAGGTTTCACGTAGCCCCGGATGGTCATCATCATTTTGTCATAAACACCCCGAGCCAGGTTCAAGTTGTACGGCACGCTCTGGGCAACAAGAGAAGAGGAATGAGCTCCCTCGCAGCTAGAAATCAGCAGAGTGTGTCTGTGTGAGATGTATTTATGCATCTTACCATAGGTCCAGATGTGGGTGGGAGCCAGTGTTGAGGCATGAAGGACGGGTTCTGTCCGGGCCACCCTGACTGTCCCGGGTTATAGGGCCAGCCAGGGTGGGCCGCCCAGCTGGGAACACTGGGATGGATGCTGGAAGCTGGAGCAACAGCAGGAGCTGGAGCCGGGACTTGAACTTGAATAGGAGCTGGTTGCGGTGGTGGCTGGTACTGGGAGGGAGGCCAGCATGGCTGACACGACTGCTGCACTTGTGGAGCTGGAGCTGGGACCATGGATGTGGTCAGTGCTGGTGCTGGAGGTGGAGGTGGTGTTATAACCTGAGGGGCCGGGCCTGCAACCGAAACAGGAGCTGGTTGTGCTGTGGGCCAGCAGGAGGCGTTTGGCTGACCAGTCCAGCAGGGCACAGGCTGGGTGGGCTGCCCGGGCCACACAGGGAACCCAGATCCGGACGGTGGCAGGCTGGGCCAAAGGCTGCCAGTCTGAGGGGCAGAACCGGAGGATGGGCAGGTGCCACACAAAGCATCAGCATGCTGAAACGCAGGAGAGGGGGAGGATGGAGAGAGGGGGGTCAGGCGCCAGGATAGAGATACGTGAAAGAGAGAGAGTGGACAGAATAGAGGACACCTACTGAAGAGGTCAACATTTTAGATTTAGATGGAAAGCATTTGGAGAAAATCAGAGGTTATTCTGTCATTCTTACCAAAGTGGGCATCTGAGAATTAGCTGTGGTGCTCGCATCCATCCTGTCTGAAACACCAAGATTGAACTCAGTCTGCATGTTTAAACAAAATGTTACAGCCGCCACACACGTGCTAATATTCTATAAAAGAGACCGATATTAACAGGAAACTTCGACTTTGGCTTGACTTTATTCCTGATTATTTGTATTTTTATTATTTTCAGTGGTATTTGCATCAAATATCCTATAGCTGTAATGGTCGTTGTTTTAAATTTAGATTTTTTTAATTTTCCAACTATGCATCATTTCTAAGAACTGCTGTTAGTTTTCCCAAATAGACAATGGTATTTGTGAAAGGTAGGTTTGTTGCTATGGTAACACTGATGTGTGGGACCGGTCTAAAAGAGACACGCCTTTTGGAGGAGAGGTGGAGGATACTGATCCTTTCCATCACTTAATTCCAGCTGCTGTGAAAAAGAGCCGGAAAACGATTTCTCTGAACTTAAGTTTCAGGAGTTTTCAGGAAATGCAGCCGACTTTTGGGAAACGACTATCAGACTTTAAATGTGCGGCACAGTCGTTGATAATAATATAGTATTTATGTCCTATCAGGTTTGTTAGGTTTTGTTTAGACATTTTTTTCTTTCTTCATGATTCAGTGTCAGGAAAAAAAAAACTGGAGAAAAAAGCATAAAAACAGAAATAGTGTGTAGAGCTGAACTATTTTTTATTTTATTTTTTTATTTTTTACTCAGGCATCACATTCTTCACATTTATCCATGAAATAGAAAATTAAATATTCTCAATTTTGTTACAGTGTCTTAAAGTTCAATATCAGAAATAACTCCACTTATCAGTTAAAGTTAAAGGCCCATTAGTTGTCACACACACAGATGTGTGTGCGAAATTTGTTCTCCGCATTAGACCCATCCCCTGGGGGAGCGGTGAGCTGCAGACACAGCCGTGCTCGGGAACCATTTGGTGGTTTAACCCCCCAATCTAACCCCTTAATGCTGAGTGTCAAGCAGGGAGGCATTGGGTCCCATTTTTTCCAAAGTCTTTGGTATGACCCGACCAGGAATCGAACCCTGATCTCCCAGTCTCAGGGCGGACACTCTACTACTAGGCCACTGAGAAAGGTAGCTAATCGAGATGCCGTTTCATAGAATGCTCAATTTATGCATCATTCTTCTAGTTTGGAGGTAACTTGCAAAACATAAATAGACATAGTTACCTTTACTTTTCTTCAGTCCTCAGTGGGCAGCAGGTTCTGGAGCAGTTCCAGGTCCGTGTGTCCGTCTGCAGACAAGCACAGAGAAAAGGCCTTTTATAGCCCTGAATCCTCGCACCACCAGGCCCCTCCCACCGCCGAAACAACGCCACTCCTTTTGGGTTCAATACTAGAACTTTATAGTTCTGTTAGAACATTCGTGGCTCTTACATGTAAGTTAGGATCCTCTAAGAAGAAATCAAAGAGTAAAGTAAAACATATCAACATCGACACGTCGCATGTTGGTTCTGCTTTCAGTGAACTTGCCGAAATGTGCTGCAGATAAACTGTTGTGCTCCAGATGAGGCTCTCCTTTCTGACCCGTCTTAGGTCCAATGACAGGACAATGACTTACTTTTGTGCCGATGTGGCTCATTTCAACGCTGAGCAGTCATGAGACCGTGAAACACTCGAAGGCTAACACAATTACAGCAGACGGACCAGCATGTCAACAATCTGAAGGTCAGAAAGGGCTCCTCGTGCTTGTCGCTTCCTAGCAGAGCTCTGATTCCTACGTTAAACCCTGTAAACGTTCTCTCATCCCTCCAGTGAATTAAAAACCTAGAATCTGGTGTTCCTCACCATGACAGACGCTAAGGGCCAACTCAGCAACCTAAATCTCAGCGTGATTATCTAATAAATCTCCTTGGTAACCGCATCATGACAACAAGTGTGGATTCTTTATTAGATTACCAATCATTTGAGCTGAGAAATGTCAGAAATGTCAGAAAAAGAGTGAAATGGCCCTGCAGATGCAACACCTGACTCTCAGCCTGCTCACCTGAAACATTTGTGACCGAGACCCACTTTGGTCGGCCGAGTGTCACTGCTACTATTTCAGTAAGCCGTGATTATCTTGGTTCATACGGCTTTTATTCTCATGAGAATTACTGCAGCAAAAGCTGCACTTTAATATGAAAGCTGCAACACAAAGTCAGCTCTTTATTCTGGGTTCTCCGACTGGTGCACTGGATCCAGTTCAGCTCAGATTTATTAGACGAGGCCCAACTAATACATCGTTTTCCCAAAGGTTTGACCTTCTCTCTTTCATGTAAGTTTTAATCCATGATTATCATCAGAAATGTTCAATATCAGCCAAATACCGATACCAAAATTGTGAGTAAAATGCAATACCAATAATTTCCAGCATTACATTTTGATGCCAACAGTGACTGATGGTCAAACGACGACATTCCTTCTTATTATAAACTCTCCAGCTATTGGCAGATTTGGCTCACTTTTACCAACTTGCTTAATTCTTCATGTCACAGGTTTCAGAAGGTGTTGGAAACATTCTTCAGATGTTTACGCAATTGCACATGTGATGTTCCAAAGGTTCTGGTCTGAGATCCGGTGACTCTGGAGGCCGTTGGAGTCTAGTGAACCAGTGGTCATGTTCTAGAAACCCGTTGCAGATTGTCTGAGCTTTGATGCATGATCCTGCTGGAAGTAGCCTCCAGAAGATGGGTCCGTGTGGTCGCCAGTAGCTCAGGAGGTAGAGTGGCTTGTCCAGTAATTGGAAGGTTAGGTTGGATCCCAGCTGCTGGCAGAGAATCCTGCTGTTGTGTCCTTGGGCAAGACACCTAACCATCCCTGCCTGCTGGTGGTGGTCGGAGGGGCCGGTCGCCTCTCTCAGTGTGACCCAGGGCAGCTGTGGCTACATTGTAGCTCATCACCATCATCGTATGAATGGGTGAATGATTCACTGTAGTGCAAAGCGCTTTGGAGTCCTCTGACTCTGAAAGGCTCTGTACAAGTGTGGGTCATTCATCATTTATCATTCATTTAACAACACGCTTTCTCCTCTATCAGCAGATTCATTTTAGTCAACTGACTGCTGCTCATGGGAAACTTTCTGTTTTTGGGCCGTACTCTGAACTCTGGAGATGTTTGTGGGTAAACATGCCAACAATGCAGCAATTCTTCATCATTCTGATGCTCAGTTTGACCTTCAATGGGTCATCTTTGCCACCTCTTGGCGCTTAAACCAACCGACTCGCTTAAATCTGATTATTACATATTTTGTGCTGATGAACAAATGAACAGGTGTGCCTTATGAAGAGGCAGGTGAGAGTATGCTGAGATGTGGTCAATCTCATGAATAAATTAGGTTTCTCCAAGCCTAGAAGTTTAGATGAACCGTAACAAAAGACTTCTCTCTGCAGGTCGATAGCCACGCTCCATCATAGCCTCAGTAGGTCTACTACAGGCCTGAATAGTTTCAGCTCGGCCAATCACATCGCTCTATGTTTGTGGAGAGATGCTGGGCAAGTTACAAACTACAAAGATGGCGTGAGCTCATAAAGGCGTTCATTCAAACGGCTTTGACATCAACTTTGGACAGTTTAGACTTTGGCCTTTTTTTCAAAACATAAGCAGATAGAGGTACTTTATTTAGAAAAAATGTTTTTAATTTGCTTCTTCTTCTTCAACTGTGTACATCTTACATTGGTGATCTTCTTAGTCCCTACACCCCCAGCAGGTCCCTGAGGTCCAGTGATCAAAGCCTACTGGTTGTGCAGCACACCAGGCTAAAGACCAAAGGTGACAGATCATCTGCTGCTGTGGCCCCCAGACTCTGGACCTCTCTCCCCCTGAGCCTGAGATCGGTGGACTCAGTGGTCTCCTTTAAAAAGCAGCTGAAACTCACCTGTTCAAGCTTTTGTATGACCTTTATCACCCTCTCCTTGTTCTGCTCTCCCCACCTATTCCACCTTCCTCAGGATCCACTGATTTCCCTCTTTCCTATTCACTCTCTTTCTCTTTGCTCATTTTAAATATATTTTAAACATTTTCGAAATGCTTTTTTATATTTTTACAATTTTTTTTATTTTTGTTTTTGTTTTTGTGAAGCGCCTCGTGATTTTTATCTTGAGAGGCGCTGTAGAAATGATATTTTCTTCTTCTTCTTCTTCTTTCTTCACATTTTTAATCACAATTGTCTATTTTTTGCTCATTTTAAATACATTTTTAATCATTTTCTAAATTCTTTTTTATATTTTACATTTTTTGTTCTTGCGAAGCGCCTCGTGATTTTTATCTTGAGGCCCTATAGAAATGATATTTTCTTCTTCATTCTTCTACTGTACATCTTCTTCTACATCTTCTTCTTCTTCTACATGTTCTTCTTCTTCTACATGTTCTTCTTCTTCTACATCTTCTTCTTCTTCTACATCTTCTTCTTCTTCTTCTACATCTTCTTCTTCTTCTACATCTTCTTCTTCTTCTACTTCTACATCTTCTTCTTCATCTTCTTCTTCTTCTTCCTCTACATCTTCATCTTCTTCTACATCTTCTTCTTCTTCTACATCTTCTTGTTCTTCTATCTTCTTCTTCTTCTACATCTTCTTCTTCTTCTACATCTTCTTCTTCTTCTTCTTCTACATCTTCTTGTTCTTCTATCTTCTTCTTCTTCTACATCTTCTTCTTCTACATCTTCTTGTTCTTCTATCTTCTTGTTCTTCTACATCTTCTTCTTCTTCTACATCTTCTTCTTCTTCTTCTTCTTCTTCCTCCTCTACATCTTCATCTTCTTCTACATCTTCTTCTTCTTCTACATCTTCTTGTTCTTCTATCTTCTTCTTCTTCTACATCTTCATCTTCTTCTACATCTTCTTCTTCTTCTACATCTTCTTGTTCTTCTATCTTCTTCTTCTTCTACATCTTCTTCTTCTTCTACATCTTCTTCTTCTTCTACATCTTCTTGTTCTTCTATCTTCTTCTTCTTCTACATCTTCTTCTTCTTCTACATCTTCTTCTTCTTCTACATCTTCTTGTTCTTCTATCTTCTTCTTCTTCTACATCTTCTTCTTCTTCTACATCTTCTTCTTCTTCTACTTCTACATCTTCTTCTTCATCTTCTTCTTCTTCCTCCTCTACATCTTCATCTTCTTCTACATCTTCTTCTTCTTCTACATCTTCTTGTTCTTCTATCTTCTTCTTCTTCTACATCTTCATCTTCTTCTACATCTTCTTCTTCTTCTACATCTTCTTGTTCTTCTATCTTCTTCTTCTTCTACATCTTCTTCTTCTTCTACATCTTCTTCTTCTTCTACATCTTCTTGTTCTTCTATCTTCTTCTTCTTCTACATCTTCTTCTTCTTCTACATCTTCTTCTTCTTCTACATCTTCTTGTTCTTCTATCTTCTTCTTCTTCTACATCTTCTTCTTCTTCTACATCTTCTTGTTCTTCTATCTTCTTCTTCTTCTACATCTTCTTCTTCTACATCTTCTTGTTCTTCTATCTTCTTCTTCTTCTACATCTTCTTCTTCTTCTACATCTCCTCCTTCTTCTTCTTCTTCTTCTACATCTTCTTCTTCTTCTTCTTCTACATCTTCTTCTTCTTCTACTTCTACATCTTCTTCTTCATCTTCTTCTTCTTCCTCCTCTACATCTTCATCTTCTTCTACTTCTACATCTTCTTCTTCATCTTCTTCTTCTACAAGTTCTTCTTCTTCTGCATCTTCTTCTTCTTCTACATCTTCTTCTTCTTCTACATCTTCTTGTTCTTCTCCATCTTCTTCTTCTACATCTTCTTCATCTTCTACATCTTCTTTTTCTTCTTCTTCTACATCTTCTTCTTCTACATCTTCTTCTTCTTCTACTTCTACATCTTCTTCTTCTTCTACATCTTCTTATTCTTCTACATCTTCTTCTTCTTCTACATCTTCTTCTTCTACATCTTCTTCTTCTTCTACATCTTCTTCTTCTACATCTTCTTCTTCTTCTACTTCTACATCTTCTTCTTCTTCTACATCTTCTTCTTCTTCTACTTCTACATCTTCTTCTTCTTCTACATCTTCTTCTTCTACTTCTACTTCTTCTTCTACATCTTCTTCTTCTTCTACATCTTCTTCTACTTCTACTTCTTCTTCTACATCTTCTTCTTCTTCTACATCTTCTTCTACTTCTACTTCTTCTTCTTCTTCTTCATCTTCTTCTTCTACATCTACATCTTCTTCTACATCTTCATCTTCTTCTTCTTCTACATCTTCATCTTCTTCTACATCTTCATCTTCTTCTACTTCT